TGGTTTGCTTCTTCTTTCCTATCAGAAATCTATTGTCCTCATCTCCCCTTTTTCTTTTTTATGTTTGTTACTCTCTTGCAACACCTGTAATCTTCTGGCTCTTATATGACCTTTTATGCAGTTGCGAGTGCCGTAAAATCTCTACTAAAACTAAACTATTATTACTATTATTGTTATCATTATCATTATTGTACATTATTCAGGCGTGTACTACAACGTGTCAGCGACCGTGAAGTGTTACGACATCATGGCTGAGTTTGTGGAGTGTGCCGACCCGACGGGCTGTGGCAACGGGCCGGCCGCCAAGGCCTGGGACTACCAGGTGAGTCGGACTGTCAGAGGCAGGCGTTGGTGATTGTGCTGACCAAGTTTGACATGGGTGTCAGTGTCTCCAACTTGTGATTTAGTTTTTTAGTTTTAGAAAGAAGAAAATATATTGAGCTCAACAGAAATTTATTTGTGTCTGAGTTTTTTTATTTAAGTTAGAGTTTTACAACGCTCGCAACTGAAAAAGGTCAAATGAGTGCCAGAAGATTAGAGGTGTTACAAGAGAGTAACAAACTTAAAAAAGAAGAAGGGGGAGATAAGGACGATAGATGTTTGGTAGGAAAGAAGGAGCAAACCACACCAGAGCACCCGCCAACCACTCGCGACTTGTGTTTCATAGAGCGCATAATGTGCTCTGTTCCGCTTCTCATGTCAAGTTGCTGCTTAAACTCAGACATGGTGGGTGGTTGGCAGTTGCTCTGGTGTGGTTTGCTCCTTCTTTCCTATCAAACATCCATCATTCTTATCTCTCGTCCTCCTTTTTTGTGTATGTTACTCTCTTGTGACACCTCTTATCTTCGGCACTTATATGACCTTATTTTTTTGCAAGTGCCGTAAAACTCTTCCCAAAAAAAATTTGATGGTATATTTTTCTAGCTCGAGGTCTGTATTCTGTTGTGCTTGTAATCTCACTGTTTATTTAATAAAGAGGATCTCTCTATTTATTTTTACCATTGCAGGCGTGCACAGATATTATTTTGCCGACAGGCAGCAACAATGTTACAGACATGTTTCCAGTGTTGCCATGGAATCTGGAACTGAGGAAAGACTACTGCAAAAAGACTTTTGGAATTACACCTCGCGTTGACTGGCCTGCCACAGAGTTTCTGGGTTCGAGTAAGTGATGTGTTGATCACCTTTGGGCTGTCTGTTGTTGAAAGTCTAGCAAAGTCGTCATCATCATCATCATCATTGTTGTTGAATGTCTAGCTAAGGCATCATCATTATCATCATCAGCATCATCATCATCATAGTTGAAAGTCTCGCAAAGTCATTTCATCATCATCAGAGACACAAGAATTACCCCTTTCTTGTTTTGGGTGTTTTTTTTTAAGCCTAACAATCTGCATCATGTTGGCATATTTTTACATAATCTACAAATATCTGCACCAAAATCAGGACATGAGACACTTTTTTTTCTGAAAGGTAAAAAAAGTAAATGAATAAAAAATAATAACTCTTGCTTAGAACCTAAGTCAAGGATACTGTGTGCAGAGGAGTGACATATGCACAATCTGTCAGATTCTAGGAAACACTTTAGCCCTGTCAAGAAATCGATTTTGATGATGGGCCATATCTTGTAATGACCAACATTCGTTGTGTTGATTCTTCAGAAGTTTCATTTTTCAGATTTTATGAATTTTTTAAAAAATGTGTCAGTAATTATTGTTTTTTACTCTGACGGAATGATTTCATAGTTGAGATCCTTGGAGTGGGTGGTTGGCAGGTGCTTTTGTGTGGTTTGCTACTTCTTTCCTTTCAAACATCTATCGTCCTGATCTCTCCTCCTTTTTTGTGTTTGTTACTCTCTTGTAACACCTCTAATCTTCGGCACTTATAAGACCTTATTGTGTTGCAAGTGCTGTAAAACTCTTACTAAAACTAAAACTACAAAAACAATTTCAAAGTGTTGTATGGATTCAGTTTTTCAGATATTGTCCTAAACTTCTCAGAGCACAAAACTGTAAGATGATCAATTTTAAATTGTGAGAGGCAGGTTACGTTCTTTGAGTGTAGACGTTTTGTTTTAATAAATTAAATTCAAGGCAGTGTTTCTATGACCCCCGTGAAAGGAGTCAATATGCTAATGTGTGAACGAACTTCTTCACAAAATTTAGAGTGCTTACCAACTTTGAAAGAGCAAAATGAGTGGCTTAGTAAAAAAGATGACGTTTCATTAATTTGCTCATGATACTGATCTGTCATTCATTTATTTTCTGTTTTCTGACTCTGTGAATTGTTGCTTTTTTTTCTTTCAGAAATCAGCTCTTCAAGCAATATCATATTTTCTAATGGAGATCTGGACCCTTGGATGGGAGGAGGGGTAAGAAAACAGTCTGCGGTTTCCTCGTTTGTTAAACTAAGAATTTTAGATGGGTGGTTCGCGGGTGCTCTGGTGTAGTTTGCTTCTTCTCTCCTATCAAACATCTATCGTCCTTATCTCCCCTTCTTCTCGTTTATGTTTGTTACTCTCTTGTAACACCTCTAATCTTCTGGCGCTCATTTGACCTTATGCAGTTGTGATCACTGTAAAACCTCTACTTAAACTAAACAAAAGAATTTTTGGCAAAACTGTTTCATTGTATGCTGAGAATAAAGGCATTAGCCTGTGTAGAGTTATCACTGATTATGTAAAATCAATTTTGGATTCACTGTTCATGGAGTTTAATTGGACTTTTGAGAGTGAGTACCTTTTTATTAAGTGTTTGCTTTATGTGGCAGTGCCCTTTTAAGGCTCGCTACCTCAAAATTACAACGTTTTTTTCTCCTCAGTACCTAGTTTTGATAAATTTGACGTCAAAGATTTTGAGTTTCATACCGTGTCAAGCTTTTTCGAATATCTTATTAACGACTCTCAATTACCTCATGATTCTGATAGAGCAGACAGAACATTTGGTGTCTGACCTCATGGTCTGAGTAACTCAAAACGGACAAAAATGTCAGATAAAACTGTAATTCTGAGGTAGCATGCTGTCAACCACATTTGGTATGTATACATGCATGTGTATACAGTCAAACCTGCCCTGACGGCCACCTCTATAAGACGGCCACCTGTACAAACGGCCACTTTCCATTTCCCCCCTTGCGTTTTTTCTATATAATTTAACTATGTAAAACGGACACCTGTCCAACGCGGCCAGCACCACCATAATTTAACACACAACCCCTATCACACTAAGCAATAACACCTGTCTTAGACGGCCGCCTTAGTGACCCCATTACGTTTTGTCATAAATTGTGCATTGGCCCCTGGCGTTGTGGGCGAGCCGTCATAATTCAATCCCCTGTCATTGTTGTTAGGTAGTCCCTCCAACCAATTATGTTGTGTAGGCCCCTCCCATTGTTGACCAATAGCTACCAATTTCAAGCTGCTGGTGAGGTAAGCGTGTGATCCCTCATAATCCATAAGCCCCGCCCAGAACTCAAACACAAATCGTAAGTGAGATGAGTGGTCACTGTTTACCCAGTCTGTAACAAAGTAACAAAGGACGTCAACATGAACTTGTGACAGAAGCATCGCTCGTTCTCCGAGTGGTGGCGACCCATGTGTTTGTTTTAACATGGCACTCGGTCTTCCTTGTCTGATACATTTAGTTTTATTGTCACCCTTGTGCAAAATCAGCAACATAATAAAAATTACAAATGAAATAAAAGAACAACAATGGGGCTACTTTCGATTGGGGTCTCAGATGGGAATAGTTTGTTTTCTTCATCTTGATCAGTCCTGCCTAAGACGGCCACCTGTCTTATACGGTCACTTTTCTCCTTGACAATGGCTGGCCGTCTTATACAGGTTTGACTGTATTTATAATTCATTAAGAAAACTGCATTGACTTTTTGTCCCCTGTGGCTGTTGTATAGACGTGGTTCTATATATATACAGTAAGAAACTTAATGAGAAACTTTGGAAGAACGATGACTGAATATTGCACCCAACAAAGAACTGGAGTGTTGCACTCAGAACTTCCGCTCTTGTTCTAAAAGAGTTTAAATAGTGACTGTCTCACCAATAGACGGACAGATCTATTCCTCCTTTGGCCTTGTGCCACCCATGCACCACAATTTCTGTGGGATCGAGGCAGATTTTTTATATATATTTTTGAGTTCAAACAAGCATACAAATCTGATATACGTACAGGTTCTATTATAGTCATGTTACTACTTAACCAAACCCTGCAGCTTTTTTTTTCCACATGTTGTCTCTGTCTCCAGGTTCTCCAGAATGTCTCTCCAACAGTCATTTCTATACTTGTGAAAGGCGGCGCTCACCATTTGGACCTCAGGTGAGATCGGATAAGATAAGATAACAATATATTGATTGATCTTCACAGAGAGAAATTTGCTGTTGGATGTTGAATTTATACAGGCACGTGCACTCCTCAGAACTCACACGCACACACATGTGCGCGCGTACGCGTACAGACACACGCTCACTAACACACACGCATGCACAAGAACAGAAGAGCACAGAAGCACACGAACAAATAGTCACTATATGAAAAACGAGCATAAAATAGTCAGTCCGATATTCGATCTGCCACCAGGGCTGAGGTATTTTGTATTTGACGGCAGCGCATACAACGAGAAACCTGTTATTGCATTTGAAAAAAGTTGCCAGACTTCGACTTTATATTTACAGACTAAAGCTTTTTTATGCATAGACCTACATATAATTATATATTCTTGCAAGCTTGATGTCTCCTGTTCTCTTTTGAAAGCTTCCTTCATGTACCTCAAACTCAAGTTTGCTGCACGCGAAGGCGAAGGACCTAACCTCCATAACACAGACGTTGATGAAAAGGGCAATACTCATTCTATTGTCAGTTGGTGGTTTGCGGGTGCTCTGGTGTGGTTTGCTCCTTCTTTCCTATCAAACATCTATTATCCTTATCTCCCCTCCTTTTATTTTGTGTTTGTGTCTCACTTGTAACACCTCTAATCTTCGGCACTTATATGACCTTATTGTGTTGCAAGTACCGTAAAACTCTTACTAAACTAAACATACAATTGTACCATATTTTTTTTGGTCTATTCCAGGGCGTCCAATCCTCTTGACCCGCCCGGTGTTATTGCGGCGAGAGAGAAGGAGAGAGGCATTATACGAGGATGGCTCAACCAGTCCTAAGTTCTAGTCTCCTCCCATTCCATTTCCTCTTATTGGACTCTTGATTATTTCTTATACACATGATGGAGGGTTTCAGAATGTTATGAATTGGAAAAATTTGTCATAGATCAGATGTATTTTAGCCATTCAACTTTTTCATATGTGAAGCGTTCTGACAAAATTAAAAGTTACTAGTTAGTTACTTCTCGGATTATCCGTACGCCTTAGGGTCATTTCGTACCCCCAGGGTTGTATTCTTCACATTTTAGAATACTTCTAGTGAGAAGATCTCTTTGAAATGTTCAGTATTTCTCAAAAAATAATTTTGACAAAGTGCTATGCAAAGCAGATTAATGAGTAAATTTCCTCTTTGGAAAGTGGTGGCACAGAGTTCCCCACATCGTATGGATACGATAGTAAAACACGACGTACGGATAGTGTTAAGGAAATGGCGATACATCACGCTCATAGGTGAAGTTTTTACAATTTATAAGCATGAAATAATAAAAGACAGGATATAGGTAAAGAATATATGGCATCAATAGAAAATCTACAAATTTGACCCTAGTGTTGATTTTTGGCCAATATCTCCTTTTGTGGATTTCGAGAAGTAACTCATTTTGTCAGCACACCTCACATATATGATGCCATCAACCTGTTCAAGAAGACCACCCATTGTCAAGGAGAAAAGTGGTTGCCGGTCATCTTAGACATGTGGTCTTCGTGGATGGTGTCATTTTGATAGAAAGGAAAATTGCAAGGGGATGAGTGTGAAGTGATTGTTTGTACAGGTGTAATTCTTGTCCATGTGGATGAACATTTTCTGAAAATTTTGTGACTTTTAACTTTTGAGAAGCAGAATGTCTGGATTCCCAAACATCAGGCTTCAGTCTTACTTTGGCTGGTGTAAATTTAAGCTTTCATCTCTTTCTATGCCCAAAGGTTTCCATTGTTATGCCAGATTAAGAGTGTTGTAAGAGGTTGAATGTAATGTTGGGAGAGGACTGTTGCAGGATAAATTTTTATGAAGAAACGAAGAAAACAGGCTTTTTTCCCAACAAATTGTTCTGCGAGAGCTATTGTTTTTAGATAGCTTTCAAAAGTTTCTCCATCATTAAAATATACGATATATCAGTGATGGATGGCGAGTTAGCACACTTATGGCACCACGTATTATTACACTGTTGTGCCAGAAAGAGAGGGGAAAAGCCATTATTTAATTTTGTCATAGAAGCCTTATAAGCTGAAAAATGTAGACAGTGAGGCTCTCTTACATAGACCACTTAGCAGTTCATGTAAATATTGCTCATCAGAAATATGCTTTTATGATCATGACAATAAAGGCAGTCGCAGAATGATTGGTTATATTAATATTCAAGAGTTTTTGTGCCAGAAACATATAATATAGATTGTGTGTTTTAAAAAAATGAATATTTTAAACAGGCTTCCCCAGAGACAGATGACAATATACAGCTTTGTTTTTAAAGTGCAGCTGAAGTGCAAGATACTGTTTTTTAGATTCGTGTTATATACCTTTAAATTTACATCCATGACTCGTTTTGAACTGTACTCTCAGAGACCAGATCATCCAGTTTTATGCTACAGAATTCACAATTTTATCAAAAATAAGACTATAAGAGCATTAAATTATAGAGAGAAAGGCAGAATGTACAAACTATCTTCACTACCAAAGACTTCTTTTAAAGCTGATAAATATAACTTTTTCATTTTAATGTGCATTTTCCCTTCTTGCGCTAATTTTGCATTAACTTGATGTGCCATAAAAGTATGGAAAAAAACAAAACTTTTGAAATTATTTTTATACCCATGTACACATTTTAGCAATATTTGTACAGAAAAAAAATTGTGCGCATTGCGTTGGTGGGGGTGTCAGGCAAGTAAAGTCAATCAGATGATCTAGCTTTAAAAAACTAAAAATAAGAACGGTGTGGAAAGGACAGACACCATTGTCTAAGGTTTTCAGATCTGACACACTCAGGGTTTTTTTAGACTCGGGGGTGAAGAAGTTTCATTACATTTACCATTGTAGCAATAATAAAAAAATATCAATTATTGGTGTAAGATTACTCCCAATATTTTCTTTGTCTACACGGCTCTTTAAAAGTAAGAAAACATGGTAAAAGTAAAGTTT